CCTTCTTGATAAGGATTAATCATATACATAGGTATTTGGACCAACATGCTCATTTTGGCTATTGTTCTCTCTGGTCTTTTTAAGGTGTCTGTCATTGTACTTGACAAACTTCACAGAATTTTGAAATGAACCCTTTATTCAATCCACTTTGCATGCCATAGGGGAGATAACTCATATCAATTAATATTTGAGTTTTATTCACCATTTATGTTGCTTGTCTGTTTCTACAATTGGTGAACTCACAACTACCAGGGAACAAAATATTTTAAGCAATACTTTGACATTGATAGAAGACCATATGTATAACAGTTAAAATATGTGAATGCTAGTTTGAATAGGAAAGCATTAATTAATGATAATACCTCATTTCAAAAATTTTGATGTAGAGGATTTAATCATAAATAAAATCAAAATAATATTGAAATTCTAAATGCCTTGATTTCTTTACAAGTTCAGACAATTGAACTCCTTTGTGCTGTCCATTTTTAAAAGTAATTGGTAAGGAACGAGATCACTCTTTTTCTCTGTGTGTGTGTTGGGGGTATCTAAACAAGCCTGGAAGGTTAATTTCAGTCTTAATTTCTTGTTTTAAATATTTCCTATATTTTGTCCTTTACTTCAAAGTAGAAAATAAAAGATTGGCTAAATGAAACTAATGTTGGATGTATTTACAATTTACTTTAATAGCAACTAGGATTCTTAGTTGAAAATTGTTTCATAAGTTTTCTTCTTCTTTTTTTTTTTTTTTTTTTTTTTAATATTTATTTGGAAAGAAAAGCATTGGATGTTTGTTTAAATGATGCCTTATTTGAAGTTTTCAAATACCATCCTTTGTCACTTGTATAATTATACAAGTGTATTGAATCTTGTAGAAATAACTAAGGTTTCCTTATATGAAGAGATTGTGTGGTATTTAGACCTGGTGAATGCAAAGAAGCATTTACAAGTGAAAAGTATTTGTTGTGTTATTTTTATGAACATCAATTCTATAATAAAATACAATTGTTAATTTTCTTAATTTGCTTGAAAATAAACTAAATGTTATTAATTTTCTAAAAAATTATTTCTTTAAAAATGGATTTGTAACTTATGCATGTTTTGTCTTTAGTCAATTTATAAACCTTAGCATCTATGAGGAGGAGGAGGAAGTGCTGAAAAGTTCATGATGTATCTAAGAAAAAAAATTTTAAAACATTTTTGTGATTGGTCAGATTTTGGTAAGTGGGTCAGGTCAAGAACTTTTCAGCATTCCCTTGTAGAATAAATGTCTCTACTCTATTAAATCATGGTGAACATCTAGTTAGTAGGTTTAACAGAAAAAAAAAGAAAAAATACATGACAATGTGAACACAAGTTGATATAATAAACAAGTGTATAAGACAATGTAATAAATGAATGCATAAAACATTCAGGTATTGTTTCATCAGGTATATATTTCCCTGAAATTATAGGGTTGAGGAGTTTGAAACAAAAATGAAAGCAGGTATAGTGTGATTGACCAATGTTTATGTTGGTAGTAGATACGGAGGGAGGTATAGAAAAATAAAACATCCTCTTGTAACAGAAGTTTGTAAGACTGATAATATATATGCTTCCAAGATTATCTTGAATGCCATTGTGGCAAATCCTGAAGCAGTCTCCATCTTGGTCTGTTAAAATAGTGCGCTATATGTTTATGTATAGGATTCCGAATTCCAACAAAAGGAGAGATGTGCTGCATTTCTTCAGGTTGTTGGCAATCATAGCTCACCACAATTTCCTGACCTTCATAGCTCTTAAATTTTGTCATCTCTCTTAAAACCTGTCCTGCCATACATTTACTCTTTCTCACTTGGTAGGTTGTGTTGTTTTCCTCTATCCCTCTTGCATTCAATCTGTCTTGTCAATGTCAAATTTTAAATATTTCTTTCTGATGTTAAGTGTAAATGTCATTTTTGTTGCCATTTTCTGTAAAACTTTGTTGTTGCTCACATGTTCAGTCCATGGTATTCTCAGTATCCTTCTGTAGAACCACATTTCTCTTCAATTCTCTTCTGTGAGGAGATTGTCTGGCATTCACTGCCATATAAGGGGACCAATATTACGTAACAGTTCAGTATGCTTTTCTTTGTTTCTAATGAAACTTTCCTGTTTATTAATACTTTGCTTAGGTTTTTGAGGGCATATCTTCCAAGATATTTGAACTGTTGTACTTTTTGATTTTATTTCCAATTTATAATAATTGTAACTACAAGGGTGGGCTGAAAAGTTCATAGGCTCACAATTAAGGAATTATACTAGAGCTGTGAAATATTGCATGCATTAATTTCAGCTGTTCTTATTAATAACTGCAGTTCAAAGCTATAGTCATGAACAGCGGTCATTGAAACCAAGGACTTGTGTGCTGGAGCAATGTTCTGATGAACCAAGCCCCCACCCTCTTTTGTCAGTTTCCCTGTGCATTTGATCTTGATAGTCTTTTGTAATTGCCTGAGTAAGTTTGCATAGTACTTTCCGTTGATGGTGTGGCCCTTTTGAAAATAGTCAATCAACACAATGCCTTTTGTGTCCCAAGAAACTGAGGCCATCACCTTCCCTGCAAATAAAACAATTTTAGCTTTCTTTGGAATAGGTGAGGAGAGGTGTTTCCATTGTATGGATTGTCTCTGGCTGAGAGTGATGAACCCAACATTGGTCTTGGGTTAGGAAATGCCCGAGGAAATTAGTTGGATCTGCCTCAAACAATGTCAGATTTTCCCATGATGTAATCAGGCTGTGTACTTTTGATCAGGTGTCAGAAGACATGGACTGACTGTGCAAAAACCTTGGTCATGTCAAGTTAATTGGGCAGAATATTCTAAACACTGTCAAGAGATATACTAATAGTATTGGTTATTTGATTTATAGTCAATTGCCTGCCATCCATCATCATGTGGTGAACACAATTTTTTCTTCAATGGTGGCAGTTGCAGGACATCCAGACTTTGGGTCATTGTCAAGACTCTCCCTTCTCCTGTCCACTTTTGCACTGTTGATAAAGCTGGAGTGTCATCTCCTAATATAGCAACCATGTCAGCATGAATGTTGTTGAGGGCAAAATTCTTTTTCTGTAGGTACTTGATAGTACCGTAATACCGACTTTTATTCATTTTCAAGAGAAGTCGCTACTAGTTACTTTTGAAGTCTTCTTTGAACAGTCAGTTGTCAGTTTTCCTGAAAAGAAACAATTTTGTTATTAATAAGAAGAGTTGAAATTAATGCATGCAAAATTTCACAGCTCTACCATCATTCCTTCATAGTTGGCATACAAACTTTTCAGACCACCCTCATATTATATAAATTATAAATAAAATCCATTAATTCCTCAGAAACTACAGTAATTGTAAACAAAATTGAAAGTTACATAAATTGAATTCTTTCTTGGATACTCAACCAAGAGAGTAAAATGGACCTTTTTTTTTTTTTTTTTTTCTTGATCCTTAAATCGTGGGAGACTGGTTTCATTCTTTTATTGTTAGTTATATCTCTCTGCTCATTTTTACCACCCACCCCATGGTAATTTTATTGAAAATAAATACAAAGGATAACCAAAAAGTGATCTTAGTTTAATATTAGATGAGTTGGTGTTGAAAAGTTCTCTTCTCTATCAAGAGGAGATTAAAAAAAGAATTATATTTAGTCATATTTTCTGAAGTGGGTCATTATGAGAACTTTCCTTGCATCTAACTTTCTGGCAAGTTCTGCCCATTTTCTCACATTTGATTCTATCCATTTTGAAAATTTTCTTTGCTTGCAGAGGATTTCTTAGGGAGAAAATTGCTTGGTTAAAATATATCTATATTTTTGAGTTTGATTTTTTTTTTTTTTTTAAGCAAACATGATTATGTCAGAAATATAAAATTCATCTTATGTCAATGTAAGCAAACATAAACAAAATGAAGTGAACCATTTTCTAATCCAAACATCCAGCCAGAAGGTAAGCAACATAATATGCAAGTGAATTTTTGCCAAAATACTGAGGTAAAATTAATTTTGAAATACTAACTTTTTATTTATTCCTCTTATTAAATATTTCTAATTATTTGAATAAATCATATTTATTTACTTAAGATATTATTGATACATTAAATTAATTTGAAATGATAATAAAATTTAACATTTTCTTTTCAACATCTGAAAATTTTAAGTTGAAATTCTATTACTGCTTTGATTATTTTAATAAACTGCTTTTTTATTTTAAAATATCAACACTTTGAATATATTTAAAACAATTATTCAGTTTAATGTAAAATCTTAAAATTGTTTTAACAGAACAGTTACCACTTTTTAAATTTTGAGTATTAGATTTAAATAGGATAGCTATTTATTTGTTAAAATAATATTGCAGTGATAAATTATTGAAAAGTATCCAATTTTTATGAGTATGGAAAATTTTTGATGAGAGGAAAGAATCAAAAAGATTAAAAAATATAATTTAAAAGAAATTGCTGTAGAACTCTCTTCATTATAAAACTGGCATAGTGCCCATAAAAAAATATTATGTATGGATTGGCACTTTTTCTAGGATTAGAGTGTAGTAACTGTTCACTAAATTTTATACATGTTTGCTTCAGTATGACAGATGTTACAGAGAAACACAGAAAAAAACCCACACTGTTCATTATTATATACTAGTTACTCTGATTAAAAAAATTATGGATATATTTGAATTTTTTTGATATATAAAAGAGAACAAAATTATATCTATGTTATACCATTTTCTTACTTTGAGAAGTGCTGAGCATATCTTGTATTCACCCTAAAAGATTTTCTCATTATTCAATAATGGGAACAGGTGAGTCTGTTGCTATGGACAGAGAAACAAACTGAAAGACTCATCTTTCATTATATAGATAGATGATTATTGTAATATCAGTTATAAAAAAGAAATAATCTTTTACTCATTTTATGTTGTCTTTGTATTTTTTTTTTTTTTTTTAATCTCACCTGCAAAATGTTATAACTATGAGTTTGAATTTCAGGAACACACAGAAAGTTGTCCATATCATTACCAGCCCTGCCCAAACAATTGCCAATCACTAGTGCTACGGAAAGATCTGGAAGAACATTTACAGTCAGAATGTTGTAAACGTAACTTTATTTGCTCATTCTGCAAAGAGACAATGCTGTTTGAATTGTATGGGGTAAGAAATCAAAATTTTCTTCTTATATTTTCACTTTGTGAGGAGAGAAAAAAAATAACTCTATACCTAAGGATGGTGTAGAAATAAGATTTCCTAATATTTCTGAATTTAAAAGTATTGATAAAAATATCTCTATCCTGTAATAGTTATCATATTTGGATGCACATTTCATGCACTAAATGTAACAGCAAATTTGGAATAGAGGTAGTAATACTAATCAGTTGAAAAATATTGAATGTAGCTTTTAGATATAGTTTACTAAGTGGTTGCCTTTGGAAAAGAATTAAATGTAAAAGGAAGGAATTAATTTTGTTACAGTTTGTAAAGTGTTGAAGCTTTTAAAATTACATTACTGGAGACAAAACTTCAAATATTCTGAAGATCATAATCATTATTAGCTATGGCAAAAACCTATTAAGACTCTGGATTCTGATGGAAACAAAACAAACCAGTTTTATTGTTATGAATGTGAAGATTTAAATAAAAAAAAAAAAAAATTCTGATTTGGTTTGAAGGAATTTTTTTTTTTTTTTCTTCTAGAATAATGATGCAAGACCCCACTTAGTAAAAAGTAAATTGATAGGATCCTCATATCACTGGAAGTTTTTTTTTAGTCACAATAACTTTAAAAGTAAAGAAGAAATGATTTCAGTATTATCAGAACTTATTTTTGTGTAAAATCCCAGATTCTTTCAACAAAGAATGAAAGAATTCTGCTTATGTTCTGTTATTGTTAATAATGACTATCCTTGACAACTAGAAATGTAATTTGATGCTTAACAGGTTTGTGTTACATTTAAAAAATTCAACTTCATGTTTTTGAAATGAAATGTAATGTATAAAATATCCTATTAAAAAAGACAAAACCTGTAAATAGTAAGTGCTTCATTTGAAGAAAAATGAAGAAAGGCAACTGTGGAATTTTATAATCAGTTATTTTTAAATAATGTTTATTTGAAATTTTCTAACACAGAGTAATATATTTTGTATGAATTAATATAATTGACTAATTGATTGAATGTTTCATTTAGAAATGTCAATTTTTAACAAATCAATTATGTTTTTAGGGCAGTTTTGTGTCAATGCTTTTGACATGCAAAAACAAACATGTTAACCTTTTAAAGTGATGAAAAAAAACACTGAAGTTTATTGCAAAATTAAAATAAATTTAGTTGATTTTTAAAATATTCGCTAAAATCTTGCTTTCTTTTTTTTTTTTTAGACAGTGCTCTTTTGTGTACATAAGATATTTTAAAACATGATATAGCATTAATTTATTAATGCATTAAAATTGAAGAAAAAGAAAAAAATGCTTATTTAAGTTGTAAGGAAATAGTGTCTAAACTTCAAGTGCATTTCATATATACAATCCATTGATAAAGAAACCGGAAAAATGTCTGGCTCAATATATTACTCCAGCAATTAACTGTCTGTCTGTTATGTTGTCTCTTCACAAGAGTCAGATTAGACTAAAAATGGAGTTTCACAGCCTTATGTGGGGCTGGGGCCACTCCTCAGTTTTCTGCCTCGATTTAGTCAAACATTGTTTATGCAGTCTTGTGGGAGAAAAACTTATTTTCTAATTTACAGCTTCTTTTCCATGAATGCAACATTGCCTCTACTGCTGTGTTCATAGCAAATGATCTGATGAACTCCATTCTTTAGTTCCACCAGTTCTCTGACAGCTAGTGCAAGCCATGCTATTTCCTAGTTCGTTTATATATGAAATAAGTTAAAATTCATGGAATTTGAGAATATAAGTTACATTATGGATTTGTCATTGAATTTTAATAAATTTGATTTCTGAAATGACAATTTGCAAGTTGAAAAATATTTTTGATATAATTATTAGTGAGCTACTTAAAGTGTTGAGTGATTATTCTTTTTATTCTATAGACATCTTTATTATGCAGTGTTTACAATAATGATGATATAAGCTTTAGAGGTGTGTAAAAATATTTAATAAATAAGTCTAAAATAACCTTTTTTTTTTTTTTTTTTAATGCAGAACTTTCAGGGATGACATCAGTTTGTCAAAGTAACTTTTGATGCTTAAAAAAGACAAAAATCAAACAAACCATAATTTCTTTACTTGAATGTCTGTATTATTTTTCTGCTTGTTTGTATGGGTGATCATTAAACTAGGACCAATATGTCATCTCTGTGTCCAAGTTCTAACCTGTACGAACTGGAATTAGTTGAGTTTTCTGAGAAGTATGCATAAGCATTTTAATAGAAAGGAATGTGAAAAAGAGGGTGTGGAGGTGGAAATGTTGGAGGAAAAAGCAAGGAAAGAAAAACAGAGAAAATGATATGTTATCACTATAAATCAAGGCAATCCATAACTCAGACCTGTTAACCATGCAACAGGAGTCCATGACTGGGGGCAGACATGTAGAGACGTAAATTGCTATTAAATAACAATTTCAGAGAATATTTTTAGCAAGGAACTCGTTATTAATATCCAGTAATTAGTTAATTAGCAACTATACATATTAGAAAGTGGCTTACAATTATTGACGTATTTTCATAAATGCAAATGTACAAAGAAAGAACAAAAATAACCTGTACTATGCAATAACTAAATGCACAAAAATGACTTTATTTGCCATAAATAACACATTCTTAGATAATATTGCAAAAATAATGAGTTAATTTGTTTATGCCAATTGATTACATAAAATATAAAGTTGTATAATACAATCAGAAAGCAATTTCAACATTTTACAAAATTGTTTATCAAGAAAGTGTGAAAATACTTTACAAAAATGTGAATTTTAGAGAAACAATTTTGATGATCTTTACAAAATTTGTTGTGATTTTTGTTACATGCACAATTTGTTTCACAGAAGATGAAGAAAATACTTATTTCACTATGATACAATAATAGATATTATCAGTATACATAGTTTTAATAATTAAAATCAATTTACATTAACAAGAACACAAAATTAATTAACAGGGTACTATGGGGAATTAACCAATTAAATATATGTAAAAAGTGGGGAAATTAAAAATAAAAAAATATCTGGTAAATATTTCTCTGAATGAATAAGTATATACATATTTTTACTACTTGAAAAAATATGAATTTTTAATACTGATTGTGTAGTCTTAAAGAGAATTGTATAAATATTTTTATCTTATAAATAAAATTTTAAGATAATTTCAAAACTTTTAGTACGGTTCTTGAGTCATCTTAGATGAATTTTCAATAACATTTTGAACTGTTATCTTAATTTTCCAAATTGTTTATGGTAAATTCACTGAGCATAACAAAATTAAACCCACTCTTTGGTAAATATCTGCAAACATCAAGTAAGCCATTGCATGTATGTTCAATGGCTAAACTAGTATCTTTTGTTAATGATTTCATTCTTTTTTCCTTGCTTTCTTTCCATTCTTTTTGTCATTTTACCAAAATTAGAAAGAAATAACAAATGTTCATCATCTAAACCTGATATCACTTTTTTCAGTGAATCATTTCTCTTAGTGTCAAGCACATATTTCCTTGACACAGACTATTTTCCAAAATGGTAAGACTTTTTCAATGAAATTAACTGTTTCTGCAGTATCCCCCCACCCATGTGACAATGGATGTGTTTTAATGGCAACTACAGTTTGATCACAAAAAAACTTTTAAACAATAGGAAACATTTTGTCAGTCAACAGGTTTTGGGTAAACTGCTACATTAGTTAGTTTCAACAGGTTAATAAATTGTTTGTTTTTTTTTGTTTTTTTTTTTGTTTTTTTTTCATACAGAAAAAGACCTTTTACAATTTTTCCCATTTGCTATCATTTTTTTACCTTCAGAATAAAACAATTATTCAGAAGTAGTTTCAGTAATCCAATTATTCCGAATATTTTTAAAAAGGTGGACATAAAAGTAAATACAAACCATTCTTAGTTATCCAAGGCTTATTAAAAATAGTGTTCAATTTTTGGGAAAAAAGATTGATGGGTCCTGTTATTGTCACATAAAATTGCAATTACTTGACCATTTAATTGTTTGATTGCATCAACAATATATAAAACTTTTTCATATAAAAAAGGTTGCATCTAATTTTGCAACTGGGATAATTTTAAGCAAATATTTTGGTCCACCATTTAGACATGATGCCCAATACTGTTTTTGCTAATCCCTTGCCAAACCAAATAAATTTTCTTCATGATATTGTAGAGCACCTTTGGTATACACTTCAACTGAAAGGATACACTTTTTCTGATTTTCAGAGATTTTACAAAAAATATCACCAAGAAAATTAAAGTCATCTAATTTTGAAACTTTTGATGTCAAAGCTGATAATGTTCTCACACTGAACAGCTTAAAATCATCTTGAAGTCTGTTATATAATGACTGAGATATAGCAAAATATTCAAATGCCATGATAAGAATATCAAAATCATATTTTGTCCTAATCCTTTGTGGTGACATAATATTAATATTGTTTTAAAATTTTTCTTCTTACCAATTTTTAAGATAATGAATTGCTTGTGTTATCCCGAGGCATAGTACTTAACCATTGTTCTTGCCTATTTTGATCTTGGGGAAGACGAAATACATGAACCATATTTTGGTCCTTATGAATTTTACAATTAAAAATATTAATTATTATGAAGAATAATACCATAAAAAAAATCAAATTAACTTTCTGTAACAAAATTCTTAATGACATTTGTGTGAATTTCGCTGTTTAAAATCACAAAAATAAAAAGAGAAAGATGATACTGACAAGACAATGTTGTCTGTTGCATTTTTATGGTATATTTTTAAGAATAGTTGTAAAATATTAAATTTATCATTGAATTTAATTTTTGACACTAAATTTCATAAATTCTTTAATAAGTGTCATTTATAATTAATTTTGCATTGAAAAATTGAATTCTGGTTGAGTTTGTTACATTTAACTTATGTGCAGTTACCGTTGGGAAAGGTATGAATACATCTTTCTCTCTCCAGCTAGGCGTTGAATAACAGAACAGACTGGGTTGATTGGCAACACAACTACTCCCAAAAGAAATAGCAACCTACTGCAGGAAAATCTGCCTAGTCAGTCATGGATCGTAAGGGACATGATCACGCAAGTGTTTATCATGTATAGCAGTTAACTGACTGTAGCTTTTTAATCTAACAATCTTTGTCATACAAAATCAGAATTTTTTTCCATGGAATATTTTATTTTAATGGTTTATATAATACAAATTATAAATTAAAATAGTTTGCTTATGTATTTTCATTGATAGTATGAAAAATAATTCTGGAATTTTCTTTGTGATGCCCTTTGAAACTTGAAAATTGTGCCACTGAGGTTTGTTGTTGGGTCAGAGTGGGCATGGACACTTTCATTCCTTCTTGGAAGTACCAGGTAAAACCACAATCCTCTCTCTGCTTTACACCAGCATGCTCAGCCACCATAGCAAACAGGAACCACTTTTTGTGGCTATTCCAGTGTAACAGCTCTTGTCATAACAGGTGTGTATTTGCTACTGCTTGTAACAAATGTAAGTGAGTTCTCAAAGAAGTTAAGTCCCTGTTTGCTGAGAAAATGAGACAATGCTTGGCTTTTAAAAACTTTGGCTCTTGTGACTACTGGCATCTCTGCAATAGGGTACTAAATAAGTGCAAGGTCTCTATTCCCCACCTCTTCAATCAATTTGAGGTGTTAATTCTACTGATAACGCTGAATGCTTTGCCTGGAAATTCTCCTCAAACTCTACTCTTGACTCATTTGGAGTATTCCTGCCTAACTTCCTACTTAGAACTGATTCTCTGGTGAGCAATATGCATATAACCCTTTGTAACCTTATTGCCACAAAGCATGTGGACCTGATGGCATCCCTGTAATAGTGTGCTTCCAAAGTAGCTCTGGTTCTCTCTAAACTGTATAATGCCTCGCTGTCTCCTGCTTTCCTTATGCTGGAAGTCATCATCCATTGTTCTAGTTGAACCATCTGACCCATCCTACTATCAGCCTATTAGCCTTCTGTCTCTTTTGAGGAAACTTGTAGAGGCCTTAATCAATGCTGAATTGGTTCATCATCTCTCATCACAGGGGCTTTTCTCAGACAAGCAATTTGGCTTTTGTTTCTCCAGATCAACTGCTGATGTACTAATTACAATTGTGGAAAGTGCCTATCATGATGTAGATAAAAATGGTGAAGCCTGAGCTGTAGCAATGGACATCTTGAAAGTTTTTAAGGTTTTTTCCACAATCTGAAAAGCTACAGTATCTGTGGCACATTTTTGAGCTGATGCAGTCATTCCTATCAAATTGTGAAATGAAAGTTGTTCTGAACAGCCACTTCTCTACATCCTTTTGTACTAACATGGGTGCCCCCCAGGGCTCAATCCTTGGTCTTATGCTATTTTTAATTTTTTTAAATGACCTTCCCAATGACATCATCTCTCAATTTGGCATGTATGATAACACAATCATTTACTTCTGCCTTGATAGTAAGGTTAATCAGTCAAATAAGGTCAAAATGACAGCTGATGTACAAAATGACCCTAAGACCATTGTTAATGAGGACAAAAGATGGCTTATTAATTTTAACACCTCCAAAACTGAACTTCTCTCCAGTAATCATCCGAAAGATCTCTCTCTGCTTTCCATCAACATGGCTGATGCTATCCTTCAAGAAAGTGACTCTGCATCTTTTTGGGCTAATGTTCTCAGCTGACATGAGTTGGAGAGACTCCAATGAATCCATCAGAAAGTTGGTTCACTGTGTTGGAAAAGAATTTTTCTCTCTGGAATTTATGTAACATATCTATGTCTACCATTTGCCCATGTTTAGAATATTGCTGCCATATATGGCCTGGTGCTGCTGCTATTTTCCTGGAGTCCCTTGGTAAGATCCAAAGAAGAATCAGCAATGTTATCACTTCTGTCACTTGCCCACTGCCATAAGGTTGCCGTTCTGTCCCTTTTTTATAAATACTTTCATGGTAATTTTTTGGTTGAGCTCTTCACTATGGTATCTGGACTTTATGAATTTAAGAACAATACTAGACTGGTGATGAGATTGTGTCAATTTACAATTGTGCTAAGTAGATGTATCTGGAACTTCTATGCTAAGTTTCTTGCACATATACAAAACTTGTATTTCAATTTTTAGGGTTCTTCAATTTGATCTGGAAGGAAGGTTAAGGTTTTATACATTCAGTTTAATGAATTTATTTATAAATGACTAAATGAAAGTCTCCTGGCAGAGCCACAAACTTGTACCAGCATATTTAAAACCTGCTAGACCATAAGAGTTGGTGGAGTATAAAATTCCAAATTAGTGGGAGTACAATCTGTACTCTTGGACCTTTCATTATAGTTAGTGCTTTTAGTTTAGATTTATTCTGTGAAGCTTGTGTCAACTTTTTTTTCTCTTGATAGGATCACGAGATAATTTGTCCAGCACGGATGGTTCCTTGTGATCTTTGTAAAGAAGACGTCATGAGAGAGAAGGTTAGTATTTTGAATATTAATCCAGAAATGTCATGCTTCCCTCCCAAATTGAAAAATGACTTTGTGTAATGTGCTAGCAATATGGATGGGAGGTTGAACATTAAATGTTAAAGTTGTACTTTGAGTGTTTCAGGATGAATGACAATGAGAAGTTATCCTCCCTGTTACAAAAATGTATTTGTAAAACATGCATGCTTTACAGGTTAGTAAATATAATCAGTTGCACTTATCATGATAACATGTCTCCATACAGAAGTTTCACAAAAAGTTTTTGATAGTGAAAACAGTCAAAACTTTGTACCATTTGTTGGTAGCTGTCTTGGCAGAATATTTACTTGTCAATACTTAATATGTGAGGACTTAAATGTATATAATTAGAGGTGTGGGTAGTTTAATTGTTAGTGGCATGAAGAATGGAATTCAAAGTCGAAGATAGTTTGAACTCTTCACATGAGCATGGCCACACAATCTCTAGTCATATGTATGTCTGTAGAAGCTCTTTAGTCTTGGAAAGTAGTCCATTTAGAACGTTTGGTTAACAATGTGACTGCATAAAAATTTACTTATTGAATGTGCAACAGGATTTTGTAGTAGTGGCCATATGCTTTTCAAGGAGGATGTAGGAATAAGTTTAAAAGTGTACACACAGGGGTGTTAGCAAATTTCCACTTGCTCAAATTTAACCAAAAATCAATGTTTTGTTGCAAGTGCTTCTTGGCTGTGCTGAGAATATTTCAGTACACCCATATGTGTGTATATATATATATATATATATATATATATATATATAACCAAACCTGATGTTATAAGCAATTAAAGCATAGAATTGAAGTGTTGTTTTCTATGTCCACTAATTCACTGCGTACCTTGTTCTTTTTCAAGTGGATCATTAATTTCCAACTGAATTATGGAATATTAACAACTACATTTATAGAGCAGTCAAGTAGAAGTAAACACATTATAGCTTGTAAAAATAGTTATTAAATTATTGTTGCTGGTAGACTCAGTGTAAAGATTATTCCTGTGTAAATGTTTGCAACCAGGGCCCAAGCTTTTTTGTTCACATTGGTTTGCACTGAAAGCTGGTAAAGGACCTGCTGCATGTTGAAGGTAAAAAATAAACACTATACCAAGAAATGAGAATGCAAACCTTGTTTCCGATATTATATTTAGATTGTTTATTCAGGGCTTTGCTTGGGTGGATAGTAGGAGTTGTCCCAAGTCTCACCTACCTATGTCAATGTCATAAATCAGGTTCATCTCCTGCTGTTTTGCCTGGTCACAAACATAACTGTTAATATAAACCAGTGTCTGGAAATAATTACTCCAGTTTGTTCTGCTGGTTATAAAACAGAAAGACTTTAGATAGAAAATGAAGGTGTCCTTAGTATCACACCTGCATGAATCATTAATATTTCTTTCTTTACTTTCAGATTGTTGAGCATGTGGCAACGACTTGCCCTCATGCAACTGTCAAGTGTTGCTTCTTCCTTTTGGGATGTCATAAAGAAGTAAGGTTTTAAAATTTTGGATATAAATGTTTGTTTCCTGAAAAATTATGTATGAATTTCTTAATACATATTTTGTGAAAGGAGATTTAAGGATACCAAAATAATTTAAATGCATTGTCAGTTGATAAAAATTCATAATTAGAATTTATTTTTTTAATTTTTTTTTGTTTTTTGATTTTTATGAAAAAGGAAAAAAAAAAAGTTGGTTAATTACCTGGTTTTATATCAGAGTAGATTTTTAAATTCTGGGTGATATGGTAAAGTTATCAGAAGACAGAAAGATAACATTCTTATTTTGTAAGGGGGTTGTTAATAAGGAAGAAATACATTATTTTATTTATTTATTTTTTCAGATTAAACGAGAAAAGATGGAGAAGCACATGAAATCAAATGTACAGAAACACTTGCAATTGATGTGTTGTGCTTTTGTAAAACTGCTGAATTTTCAGAATATTGAAAGCATTTTATCATCAAGAACATCTGGAAACACCAGTAGCCAAAATCAGACAGAGAGCATGAATGATCCCATTGAAATATCTGGAGAACTGAATGCTTTGTTGCAGACAGCTGAAGGAGCAGCTTCTGGAGTTGCTGATGGAGGTCCGTTCAGGTTGCCACGAGTTAATCTTCCTTCTGCTCGCCCTTTATCAATGACTATACCTGTAATAAAACCACCTGTTGAGCGTCTAACTTCAGAGGGCAAGTCTAACTTGGCTGATGGTGCATCTTCATCTGAATTGTTTGATAGTGAATTCCAATCTCTGAAGGAACGAAACACATACCAAGATGAGAGCCTGGCACGGCACAGCCATGAACTTCTGGAGTTGCAGTACAAGTTTGATAATTTAGAGAGAAATAACAAAGAGTTAAGGCAGAAGATACGTTCACTTGAAGACAAGATAAACAGCCTCTCTGATATTGAAGGACGGCTGTGTAACGGTTTATACATCTGGAAGATAAAAAATTACTTACAGCGACGACATGAGGCAGAGGCTGGAGAGATGACTGTCATACACAGTCCACCGTTCTATTCAAACTTTAGTACAAACTTTGCATCTATTCAATCTCAATGGGGTGAGATTTTTATGGTACACACCTCTCAGTTTTCATCCACTTTATGCAGGGGGAGTGGGATGACGTTCTTACCTGGCCATTCCGAGGCAAGATTGTACTGTCCGTCCTTGACCAGAATCCTGTAGCTGACCAACGACAGCATGCTGTTGAAACTTTGGTCTCTAAGCCGATGTTAGCTGCTTTTCAAAGACCAACAACACATCGTAACCACAAAGGGTTTGGTTATATGGAATATGTTCCTTTGGAAGTTTTGGACAATTCAACTTATGTTGTAAATGATACTCTAATATTAAAAGCCCAAGTCTTTCCAGAAGTTTAATACTAAAATGAAAAGAGTGGGATAAAAAAAAATGAATGAGCAGTGTTTCTCAAACTTGAAGGCATGATCATAGTCCTGAGATTATATATATATAATATATATATATATATATATATTTGTACATAGTGGAATAATCTTATCAGTCATATTAAAAAAATAGTTTTTAATTCAGACAAATTGTTGTCTGTTAGTACCGTTTTATTTGCCTGTATTTCTTTTCTGAATTATTCTTTTAAATAAACTGTAGTTTCCTTACTGAAATAATTTTTTTTAACAAGATTTCTAGAGGAGTTTGGTTTGGGCATACTGAAAGCTAAGATGCCTCTAACTTGTTTGCTTCTCTTGGATGTTAGGATTCAGACAAGGCAAATCTAGTGACGGTGGTGTGGCTGGGATATAAAGAATATATTTTGTTACTTATCTATCATTTTAGATTTCATACATTCTTATAGGTTTTTCCCTCAGCTTAGCTTAGTTTAGTGTAGAACAGTGTCATAAATGTGGGGCAATTGGTGAGGATTGTAGTAAAAATCCTAATTCACTGTTTGACTGTGAGGCATCTTTTTATAGATTATGATAAGGTTACATGAATAAATCCAAAAACAATATAGTGAAAAAGTTTGTACATTTAGATTGTAGTTATGCTAACAGGTCAGTGTAAGTGGATTGAAAAATTCAAATGTCATAGTTAAACTATGAAATGCTCAATGTTTTATTGACACTTTTTTACCATAAGAAAATAATGCAAATGATATTAGTATTTTTTGTTGCTTTATTATGAATACAATATCCCCCAATTCCTGTCAATTGGTTTCCAATTTTGAGGGCAGAGAGTAGACCAATTATTTGTGGGGAGAAGCATGTAACAGTTTGAGAAACACTGGATTAGTAGTGTGCCTGTTTTTATTAAGTGTGTAGGATGAAATAACATCAAGCCAGAAGATTGATGATGGTCAGTTGAGTTGATGAGTGTTGTTTTTGACTGTGATGGTTTGTTTGTAGGTGTGGTTCTACACACCTGTTTTCTACTTGAAGTGTCAGTAACACTTCTGTACCATAATAAAAGTACACCCACCAAAAAAAAAAAAAAAAAAAAAAATAGGAACATTGGGGATCAGCAAGTAAATATGGATTTATTTGATCTGTTTTTTGCTATCCCTTCGAGTAGGGAATAGTTTACAAATACTTTCATAAAAGCCTATTTCCTTTAGGAAAAAATAATAATGAATCTCTCCTATACGTGCATGATACAAGGATAATTGTTTTTTTTAAATTCAAGACACTTGTAAGAGAAAAAATTATTTGTCTCACTTTTTGAGAAGTTTTAATCCATTTTGGAAGGAGTTTGGAAAACCTTCAATTTATCTGGTCTTGTTTTGTACATGGACTAAAAAAAAAAAAGAAAAAAATCCCTTTTTGTAAAGTGAGACTTTGTTTGTAAAAAAAATCCACCATCTAAAAATAAAAAAAGCAGACTTTTCCTGTATAAACCTAAAAATCAGCTGCTTTGGAACTGAATTACAAGCAGCTGACTATATTCACTAAATGGAATCAGTTTTAGTGGATGCGTATAGACTTGTTTTTTTTTTTTTTTTTTTTTTGTTTTATATTAAAATCAAATTGTTAGGAAAATGACAATGAATCTGGGGCCCAATTTTTTTTTTGTTATTTCTTGCAGAGATTTTTCTCATCTGCAAAATGTATTTGATGTAAAGAAACTCTTATATGATCTACATATTGTCTGCTGCAATATCAAGATGGATTGCATTAAGTAATTTTGAAAGTTGAACCTTTTTCATTTAGTAAGAAAGGTGTGTTGAAGAGATAAATTAAATGCTTGATATTTAGTAGATGGAATGAAAAATAAATGCTGATGTAAATTTTCATTCTTGGATCTTTATGAGCAAAGTTTTGTTAAAGAATAAAAAAAAGATTATATTTATAATACTTTCCAGCTGACTAAGATTGTGTTTATTGCATAGTTTGTTTATTTTTTTTTCCTTCTGAAAGAGTAATTGTATTTCTCAGCTTGTTTGTGGAAATTTTGACTTAGTGTATTATTTAGAGACTGTTTACGACTGAAGTATTGTTTATTTTTTTTGTTAATTTCCAAATGATATGCTTGTTCAGGAAATATTGAAGAAGGTAAGGAGTGTTTGAACATTTCTATGTTGATGAAATTGTTTTACTTTTTATTCTTTTGTCTTTTCTTTTTCAAGACAGTGTATGGAATAAGTAATGAAAGAAAGATTTCACAGTACAGGAATAGAAATACAGTTAATATGATAGCATGGTCAGTTGAGAGTGGAAAGAAAATTAAGTTAATATACCTATCTATTGTGAATATGCTCTTTGTAGCAATTTTACAAACTATATGCTAAGTGAAGAATACATGTTGCAGTTTCAGTCTTTACAAATAAATCCGGTTCCTGGATAATTGTTGAATGTGCATTTGATTAAACCCACCAAAACACAAGTGCCCATTCAACAAGGTTTTTATTGAAGAGCATTGGCACTGGATTTTAGCTGACTGGAAAGACAAAGTTGAAGTAAACAGAGAAGCAAAATAAATTCAAGTGTATACATTACATACATACATATACATATATATATATATATACATATATATATATATATACATATATATATATATGTATATATATATATATATGTATATATACATAATATATATATATATATTATATATATATATATATATGTATACATGTATATATATATGTATATATATATGTATATTATATTATACATATATATATAATATTATATATACATGTGTAATATAATATATATATACATATATATATATATATATATATTATGTATGTGTATTACATTAATATGTATAGTGTGTGATATGCATATATAGTATATAGGTACTTATTATTGTGATATGATGTATAGTATATCCTATATATTATAAATATATATATATACATTTAAATTTCATATACATATAATATATATATATAATTTTACATATATATTATAATATATATATCATATATATATATATATAATATATTATGAAGAATATATAAGGTATAAAATTTATACATATATATATAAAATATTTATATATATATTTAAATTTTATTCAATTTTTTATAATATATTATATAATAACGATATATATTATTTTATATATATTATATTTGTAAATACATTATATATATGTATTAACCCTTTTTTTATAATAAATTTAAATTTTAAATTTTATATATGTGTGTAAATATCATATGTATGTATGTTATATTATTTTATATAATATATTTTATTTTATAATATATATATATATATATATATATATATATACATATATATATATATAATATATTATACATATATATATACATTTTAAAATATCATAATATATTTTAAAAAAATATAATATAATATTTTAAATTTATTTTTTAAATTTCTATATATATAAAAAAAATCATAAATTTTAAAATTTTATAATTAATTTTAAAAATTTAAAAATTTAAAATTTTAAATATATTATTATCATTTAAAAATAAAAATAAATAATATACTAAAAATTAAATTAAAATTTTCTTTTTTATTATAAAATTCTTTATTAAAATTTAAAAAA